GAGCTTTACGATCGTGTCTGTCCCGGGACAAGTGGCCCAGGACGGGCAGAAGCCACAGTGTGCAGAGACCCAGGAAGAGGAAAAACGGTGAGCGGGTCGCCGCCGCCGCCTCTACCCCGGCAGCGCGGAAGAGACCCGGGTGGTTGCCTGGTGGAGCGACGCTAGCACCGCTTCTTCTGTTCCGCGCCGAGCCTTTCGCAGCTGCCGCCTCAGCCCGAAGGAGGAAGGGAGCCAGCCCATATTGTCAGCGCCACCGCTCGTCTCTGAAGCGTGAGTGGACTCGGGGGAGGGGGACGTTCTAGGGTAGCAATTGGGAGCCGGTGGGTGCTTGGTGCTGGAGTTTGGCTGTTGTTTCTCGGGAGGGTTGGGCATGGAGACCTTTCCTTCCTGCTGAGGGAAGAAGGCATCAGTTTGCAAGAGTAATGCAAGTAACAGGGGGCTTGACTTAGAGGAGCGGTGTCTCCAGAGTGGACGTTTGCACCTTTCTGCACACTGATCAGCAAAGGGAAATCGAGAAAGCCCAATGGACAGGTCTGTCCTGTACATTTTCCTGGCCACTGGTTGTGATCCAGCACAGAGTGGTTTTGTTTCAGGGAAACTCCCATGGATTCCCACGTGGGAATCACTTGAATCAACTCTTTAAAATTTTTTTCTCTTTCTTTCTTAGCTATTGTTTTTGAAGTTGTCCTTGAGAGAAGGACCAATTTTGGTTTAGTACACACAGGAGCTTGGTACCCCGGATACGGTATTTCCCAAGTCCAGAGATTCTGATGCATAAGGAGGATGTTTTTGTGTTTCAGTAGCTCAGGAGAGTTCAAGTTCCTAGGATGCACAACTCTTTGAGACTGAATTCAGGGAGAGCACTTAATGCATTACCGTTTCATAAACGTTGCAGCACTTTCTTTTTCCCTAATTCTCTTATCATTTTTGAGGGGAGAGTAATACATTTTATGTGATAGTATATTTTTCCTAGGATTGAAAGGGCATGCATGTGGCTTTTCTTACTTGACTTGTCAACTTAGAAACTTCTCACACTTTAAAGAAAGTATTTCAGGTATCTTAAGAGTGCTTTAAATTAGAGGTACAGGAAAGTAATGTTTCACATATATAAGGTTAAACATACTGTGGGATTTTATGTAACAAGGAACATAGGTAGTGTAAGACTGAGAATTCTGGTCCATTCAGACAATGGAAAGTGGGCAGAACAGAGATGCTCTGTAGAAATGAATGGAAACCTGGGCTTGTCTATCCATCTTAATTTCTCCATTTAGGATCATGATTAAATTTGTCTGATTGAAAGTTTCTCACATTTCACAATGTTTGGGCCCTGTTCTCCCCCTCTTTTTAAAGTAATTAGCCCAAAAGTTTATTAGTTTTTGCATTATGTAACAACTCTCTTATCTTCTAACTGCCTCCTCAAACTTCCAAGATACAGGTTGAGGAATGCTAAAGCAACCATGCGTTTATCTCCTCTTGCTTTTATAGATTTTGGTTATTCTCTTCTGTCATCTGTCCCAACTTTTTAATCTTGAGTACTTTTAGTTTTTTTCCATTTTGGATTTTCTAGCTCTTTTATTTTTCCTTAGATGCTTTGTTCTTTATATGTTTTCATAAAACACTGTAAGTTCTACTTAGTGTAAATGGGAATTAGCATGAAAATATTGGTGAATGAAACTTTAAGTTTAGAATAAAACATGTTTTTGGATCTGTTAACCTTATTTTGCAACCCTGAGTAAGTCATGTATTCCATTTTCCGAAAAAGGTGACTGAGAGACCTAGTTTTGCATAGTTTGCTTTTTGGGAAGAAGGGGGCTGTAAACCAAGAAATTATACCTTGAGTGTGTATTGCTTCGGTTCAAAGTTGCTTACAAACTTGAGGACCTGTTTTGCAAATTGGTTTTAAATCATGGAAGTACTTTATTGGCTGTAGAAATAACAACATTTAATACTTTCAGTCTTTGGGGTACCTTTTCTTATGAATGACAGAGGCAATTTCTTACTAATTCAGAGAACCAAAGGTGGAAGGAGAACACTGATTCCACAGAGTTGTCCTCTGACCTACATGCACATGAATGTAATAGTGGTAGTAGTAAAAATAAATAGGTTTTTTTAAAAAAAATGTAGGAAAGGAGGAAATGTATTATCTTTATTAGTCTAAGATCATGATATATACCAAGGACTGTCATTGCACCTTCCATTAGGGAAGTGTTGATTTTGGACTACCCAGGAATAATTGGAGTCTCTGAGCCAAATCTTGGAAGGGCTCCTTCAGGAAGAAAAGAGCATGTACAAACAAAATATTAAAGACTCAGAGTCAGAACATGTAAAGGAAAAGGAAGTTAGCTTGGTGGGAATACCTACCTACTGATGGAGGTTCTCGACTAGGGGTAAGATCAGTTTGCACTTGTGTATACACTCATGGTTACAGTTTATAAAAGAATTTGAAAACTGCTCCAGAGAGGGTAGTTTCAAGTGACTGGGAGAAATTATACTTTAGGACGAAGGCACTATTGCTGGCTTTAGGATTTTGTTTCTCTAGGAAACCAATCTTTTTACATTATGTGGGGGCTGCACAGAAGGAGGTGTGAAAAGGAAATGCTTTGAATGTTTTTTAGCTGGATGCTAGTAGTTTCTCATAATCAGGAATTCAGAAACAGTAGCAGACTTTGCTTTGGATGTTGATTTTTAGGTTAAGAGCTGGATGTCCATATATTTCATGTGTTGGCTCATTCTGTTTTTCTTTTCCTCCGCCTCTTAACTCTTTCTCTTTGATTTTTGAATCTGTCTCTTGTCCCAGGCTGACCTTGAACTTGCTGTGTAGCTGAGGATAACCTTTAACGTCCAATCATCCTGATCCTGCCTTGACTTCCTGAATGCTAAACTTACTGTTGTGTGTGCCACTATTTCTGGTTATGTAGGGCTGGGGATGAAACCTAGGGCTTTATGCATGCTATCAGGTGCTTTGTCAGCTGCGCTACTCCTTAGGGCCTGCCCCATATAGCTTTCAAGACTGCAAAGTAGTTTGGGTAATATGCTGACAGTGTGGGTAGTGATGGGAGTCATTCTTAAAGGCTTTAGGTTTCTGAGATTACTGATACTGAGTAAAGAGCTGAAAAAGGATTTTACAATTTTGGGAATGGACAGAGTTGTGTTAGCTTAAGCACAGGCATAATAAGAGAGACATTCCCCAAAGAGATACTTCATAAGTGAGTGAAAAGTGGCAGTTGAAACAAGGAACAGTCTTTAAACATAGCTGCCGACTCAGTCCAGAGCATATAATTCTGTTTTTAGCAACAGTTAGAGGTTTTCAGTAGAGCATTTAGATACTGAGACATATGTTCAGAACACACAGGACTTTGTTAGGGAACTTATAAATGAAATGGAAGATTAGTTTCTCCAAAACTCAGGTTTTTGATACTTCCTTAAGCTTGGTTTCCTCCCCCCTCCCCGAGACAGGTTTCTCTGTGTAGCCCTGGTTGTCCTGGATCTTGCTCTGTAGACCAGGCTGGCCTTGAACTCAGAGATTGGAGTACCTCTGCCTCCCCAGGGACTAAAGGTGTGTACCACCAAAGGCCAGCTAAGCTTGACCTTTTTTTTTTTTTTTTTTTAAAGATTTTATTTATTTATTTATTTAATTATTTATTATGTATACAACATTCTGCTTTCATGTATATCTGCACACCAGAAGAGGGCACCAGATCTCATAACGGATGGTTGTGAGCCACCATGTGGTTGCTGGGAATTGAACTCAGGACCTCTGGAAGAGCAGTTGGTGCTCTTAACCTCTGAGCCATCTCTCCAGCCCTAAACTTGATCTTAATACTAATGAAGTGGAGCTAAAAATTGCTGAAAGGGAAGGCTGTGTCTTT